TCAACACATTGAATCCCATAATGGGATAAATGTATTTATGATCTATGATCTGTGTGCCTTTGGAGGCAGAGTGGGTGAGGGTAATGGCTGAAGAGGGGCATGAGGGAACTTTCTAGGGTAATAAAAAGATGTTTTCTATCTTTTTTTTTTTTTGGCTGGGGCTGGGTTTGAACCCGCCACCTCTGGCATATGGGGCCAGCGCCCTACCTTTTTGAGCCACAGGCACCGCCCAGTGTTTTCTCTTATTTTGGTAGAAGTTACAGTATATATAAAATTGTCCTCTTTGAACTGGATATTTAAGATATGTGAATTTTACTGAGTATTAGTTATACCTCAACAGAAAAATACAAAGTAGCATTCTGCTTCAAGATACAGGTTAATAATTTTGTTTCAGATGAAATTCCACACATGGAATTCATATCCACACATGTATGTTCAATCATTTGGATTATTTACATCTATATTCCTTCAACCCTGCAAAGTCTAATAGATTATAGACACATATAGACAGATATAAGAATGTATGTTCATGTATCTAATTTTTCATAAATAGCAAATTGAATATGATTCTTTATAACTTTAATATGCACATTATAAACCAGTTATAGGTCCAGTGGAGTTTTCTATTTTCTATACCATTTTTCTTTCAATATGATTTTATGTTTGTGATTTTATTTATTTATTTATGAGACAGAATCTCACTTTGTCACCCTCGGTAGAGTAGTACTGTGGCATCATAGTTCAAAGCAACCTCCAACTCTTGGGATCAAGAGACTTTCTTGCATCAGCCTCCTGAGAAGCTGGGACTAGAGGCACCCAACATACTGCCTGGCTAGTTTTCTTATTTTTAGTAGAGATGGGGTCTTGCTCTGGTTCAGGCTGTTCTCAATCTCCTGAACTCAGGCTATCCACCCACCTCGGCCTCCCAGAGTGCTGGGATTACAGGCATGAGCCATCATGCCCGGCCTATATTTGTGATTTTAAAGGACCTGATTTAAATAGGTGGGCATTGTGGCCGGTGCGTGTAGTCCCAGCTACTTGAGAGGCTGAGGCAAGAGAATCACTTAAGCCCAAGAATTTGAGGTTGCTGGTATGTGCCACAGTACTCTCCCCAGGGTGACATAATTGAGACTCTGTCTCAAAAATAAATAAATAAAGGATCTGCTTTTTTTTTTGAGACAGAGCCTCAAGCTGTTGCCCTGGGTAGAGTGCCATAGCATCACAGCTCACAGCAACCTCCTACTCCTGGGCTCAAGCAAGTCTCCTGCCTCCACCTCCCAAGTAGCTAGAACTACAGGCACCTGCCACAATGCCCAGCTATTTTTTTTGGTTGCAGCCATCATTGTTGTTTGGCAGATCCAGGCTGGATTCAAACCCGCCAGCTCAGGTGTATGTGGCTGGCACCTTAGCAGTTTGAGCCACAGGTGCTAAGCCAGAATCTGCTTTATAGAATTGAGAAGGTATGTAAATCAAATGTCAGCTAGCAAGATTAATGAGCCATGCTTGCAGTCCAGAGAATACCCTCCTCTAGTATTCAAGAGAACACACACATATTTACACAGCCTAAGTATCCGTGTACATCAGACTGACACCAGAAAACTTACTAGAAGTCGTTTTTTCCAACTATTTTATAGGCTCCTCCTCTATTTTTCTTTCTTTTTTATCTTTTCTCCTCTGTTGGTCGCTATCCAGATATATATATATATATATTTTTTTTTTTTTTTTTTTTTTT